CGGTGGTGGAGACAGGTTGGCTGAATAAAAGACACGTTTCTCTGGGGAAATTAAGGACTGTGGGCCTCAGAGCTTCCAGAATAGAGGGAACCCTTAGCTTGTTTTTGTGTTTAAACTCTGCCTGCCCAACGGCTGAGCTGGAACCTTGGTCTTCTCTGGCCTTCAGACTCAGACTGAAATGCTGGCTCTTCTTGAGTCTCCAGCCTGCCACCTGTTTTGTTTTGTTTTGTTTTCCTTACCGAGCCTTACTGAGGTATAATGAACAAATAAAATTGTAAGATAAAGTGTATGTGATGATTTGATATATGTATATACGTTTACATGTGAAAGGATCTCTCCCCCACCTAGCACACCTCACTTTGTGTGTGTGTGTGTGTGTGTGTGTGAACATTTAAGTTTTATACTGTTAGCAAATTTTAAAACTATACAGAACAGGTCACCATGTTGTGTATTAAATCCTCAGAACTTTTATCTTAAAGCTGAAAGTCTGTGCCCTTTTACCAATCTATTTCTCTCCCCTCGTCCCCCCCCCCGTAACCACTTTTGTACTCTGTTTCTAGGACTTCAGCTTGAATTTTTTTTCATGCCACATATAAATAATACTGTGCAGTATTTATCATTCTAAACCTTTGACTTGTTGTTGAGTGCTCCGTGGGCACTTCTGTTCTTCTTGTTGCTAAGGAGGGCATTCAGTTATCTGTGACCGTGTCAGGGGCTTTAATCTCTGGAAGGACCAACTGCTCAGATGGCCTCACTTTATAATGCTGATGCAACACGTGTTTACATTTGCGTTATGATTATCGGTGACAGCTCTGCCGGCAGGACTGTGAGTACTCATTAGGGAGCCAAATATGGGGTACAGATGCCACGGGGCATTTTTCTTAATCATATTTTATACACAGTTTCTGTGTTGCTGCTTGAGGCAGCTTGGATCTCTTGATAGGACAGCTATCACAGGCTCTAGTTTGGGACCACCTGACTTCTGACTTACGCAGATTTTGAACTCTGGACCCTAAAGATGAAGGTCATTGATGCCCACGAGATTGGAGCATCTCAGTGAATATGACATCTGAGTATGCATGTGATCTGTGTCCTTGAAACACCACTAGGCTAACCTTGCAAGCATAAGCTATCTGCATTATTTTGTTAAAACCCAGTGAGTTTTGATCTCTGATTACCTAGGAATTTATAATACCTTTCAAAATTATTACTTAAAAGACAGAAAAAAACATTTCATTTTGGCAGGAGAGTTGACCTGACTGCAAGATTCTACGTAAGTGCTGATACACCGCACTTCAGCGTCTTAGGTTTCTAGGAACAAGGTTGCTCTTTTTATATGTTATGTATGTATGTGTGTGTGTATTTTAGAGAGAGCACAAGTAGGAGGGGGAGAGGGAGAGAGAGAATCTCAGGCAGATTCTGGGCCCAGCACAGAGCCCGACGTGGGGCTTGATCCTAGGACCCTGAGATCATGACCTGAGCCAAAACCAAGAGTCAGACACTTAACCTGAGCTACCCAGGCGCCCCAAGGTGGCTTTCTTGGGGATCTGCATCTTTTTATAAACTAAGAATACTGTTCCCAATTATTTTTTTATTTTAAAGATTTTATTTATTTGAGAGAGAGAGAATGAGAGAGAGCACGAGAGGGAAGAGGGTCAGAGGGAGAAGCAGACTCCCCGCTGAGCAGGGAGCCCGATGTGGGACTCGATCCCGGGACTCCAGGATCATGACCTGAGCTGAAGGCAGTCGCTTAACCAACTGAGCCACCCAGGCGCCCTGTTCCCAATTATTTATTGCTAGTTGCAGATATAAAACTTGCATGCTTATTGAAATAGTGTTTGTGTGGTCTTTGTCCTTAATGTTGGAATTTTAATAGGTCAAGGGAGTCCTTCCAGCTTACACTGGCCATATTTGTATCTCATTTAAACACAATTAATGCCTGGTCCCAGCCAAAATTTCTCCTTTGAGCTCTAGTCTATTTGGTATCTCTCCCTGTGTACCTCACAGGTACCTCAAACTTTGCATGTCCAAAAGAGAATGTGCGTCCCCCCTGCCTTCCCAACACCCTCTACTCAAGCCTGTTCTTTCCTTCCCCACCTCCACTTGCTTAAACCAGACATCTTCGAGACCCTTCCTCCTCTCTCACCCCATACGTTTAATCCAAAAGCAAGTCTTGTCATTTCTAAATCTAAACTAGTGAAAATGATCCACTTCTCCCTGAGTCCTACTGTAATTTTTAGTGCAGACTTCTGCAGCAGCCCCCTCACTGACTCGCTGGGGTAGATCTGCCCCACCAGTCCATTTTCTGCATGTCAGCATGATCATGGCACTGCTTTGCCGGGAGAGTAAAACCAAACTCATGATTTACAAAGCCCTGTGTGATCTGGCACCCTCACCTCCCATTCATGATTTGCTCATAACACTGTTAAGCCAGTTCTCAGTTCTTTGAACACCTTCAATTTTCTTACTCAGGACCTTTGCACCTGCCATTCTCTCTCCCTGGAATGTTTCTCCCTCGATTCCTCACATGGCTGGCTCCTTATCCTTCAGGCTTTGGCTGAAATACTATCTCCTCAGAACTTTCTCTGGCTGCCTTGTCTAAAATATTTGTGTTGGTTTCTTCATAGTATCTTATTTCTGTCACATCTGCTAGGATGGAAGCTACACGAGGGCAGGAAGCATGTGGGATGTGTTAATTACTGTTTCTCTGGAACCTAGCCCACAGCCAGGACTTCAGTATTTGTTGGACAAGTCACTGTTCATTTACTCAATCCTCACCTCAAGTTCATACCCCAATTTAGAGATGAGGAAACCAAGGCTTAGAAAAGTTAGAAACTTACTAAATATCCTAGAGAGAATCTAAGACTCAGATCCAGGTTTGACTGACTTGAAGGCCTGTACCCCTTACAACTTGGGCACATTTTATCTTATCTATTAAACTTGTACTGAAATACTAGAATAAGTATAAAACACAGCAGGATTGATGAATCTTGAGGTAACCTTGGACAAGTTCCAGGATTAGTTATTCAAGATCCCACATATCTTTTCCTTCCTGATGCTCCATGGGGTACACCAAAGAGAAAACCTTGAACCTAAAGTCTGGTTAAAAAAACCTTTAATGGGGCCTCTGGGTGGCTCAGTCAGTTAAGCGTCTGCTTTCAGCTCAGGTCATGATCCCAGGGTCCTGCGATCGTGTCCCGAATCAGGCGCCCTTCTCAGCTGGGAGCCTGCTTTTCCCCCTGCCTGCCACTCCCCCTGCTTGTGCTCTCTCTCTCTGACAAATGAATAAATAAAATTAAAAAAAAAACCTTTAATAATCTATCTAATCAACTCTGGTGTCTATTAAACATACCAGGGAATACAGAGTTCTTGTAAAATCACTCTGGAACAAACTAGTATCTCTGACAGTTGTTTTTGTTTCTCAGTTTCATCAAAATCGTTCATCTCAGCACCCAAAACTGCTTTACCTCCTAAAGTAAAATTCAAAATTGGAAAAAAAAAACACCCCACAAAACCCAAAAAACCCTAACAGCTAATGCTAGACCCTTTAGAGAACATGGTAGTGACTACACACTGCCAGTGTTCACTAGGGCTATGAAAGAGATTTCCATCTCCTCCATCTATCCAAACTGCTTCGTGGATGGGTAAGAGCTAACCATATTGAATACTGGTGCTAAGCTATTCTAAATGCAAATATAAAACTCAAAAGCACACATCGGTGTTGAGGAGTGCATGGCATCCTCACAATGATACATCTAGAGGATGTATCATTACCTTCACTTTACAGATGAGCAAGCTGGGACACAGGTTAAATAATGTGTCCTGGTCACACAGCTACTAAATGGTAGAAAGAGGATTCAAATCCAGACAGTTTGACTCTATAGCCCATTTCTTAATGACTACACTAAACTGCTCTGAAAGCTGAACTTGAAAACTATTTTAAATATCGGTAGAAACGGGCAGTGAGAGGTGATAGGGTGACAGGCAGATTGTAGAAGAGTCAGGGGCCTTGGTTCGGTAATCCAGTTACGGCACGGCCGGAAGGGACTGGAGAGCCTGCATGCCCTCCAGGCCCTCATTTTAAAGGGAGGTGCCTGACCTATAGTCTTAGTACAGGACTGAGCCATGAGTAGAATGGAGGTCGTAACTTCAGTATTCTTTACATTTACACCATGCACCATGCTTCTCTTTAGAAGCATATTATAAGGTCCTTTGGAAAACAGTCAATATGGCCAATTCTAATAGCAATACGGGATAAAAAGCTACCATTAGATCAGAAATCCCTCCATTAGATCAGAAATCCCCAACTTAAGCAGGGAATAGTCTATTCTTGGCCACTACCAACTTTGTTTCACTGTTTATTATAAAAAGGAGAGGTAGTGGTAGAGGATAAGGACCGGCTGCCCCGGGAGAGGTCTCACTGCAATGCCTTGCCTACCTGCCACATCAGACTGGAAAAGAGGCTGCCGACCGCACTGATGTCCAGAGCCAGCTGGAACAGGCTCTGTATCACACCTCAGATGCTTTATGGAACTAGTGGCTCATAGACTCTGGAGTGAAAATGGTTAGAGTCAGGGTCACATTTATCACCATGGCAAGTCTAAACCTTGTGGAAACCAATTATGGGGCAGCAGAAATTTGGAATGGGAAGTCAGACTGCAGAGACGAATGCCAGTTCCTAATTTAGCAGTACTCAGTTTTAGTTAACAGGAGATCCAGCTACACTTTGTTCCCTGCCGGTGGCTATTTCTGAAACTCTTAGACTTACAACAAAGTACCCTCTTTTACTGATACTTTCAATGTGGGAAAACAAATTTTCCCAGTCCCCAGTATTTTCTGAAGGGCTGATTAAATTTCCTCTGCAACTATCTTTTTATCCTTAAACTTATAATGTGTAAGTTTAAAAATATTCAATCTGAATAGACACTATGACAATGACACTAGGATTTATCTCTTCCTCTTTCCCCCTCTCTCTCACACACACAGGAAAAAATAGCAGGTGCTTAATAGGTATTTGTTGAAGAAATGAATAATAATTGTCTGGACAGTATAATTTAAAAAGGCTTTTCATTTCATATGTATTATCAGTGCTTCAATATAGAACATTTTGTAATGACTAGTGACATGTGGATACAGATGGTTTTTTTCAAACACTGAGTGCCAATATTTTCTGGTAAATACTGACTTTCACGAAACAGAATAACCAAATATAATTTCAGGAGACGGTGATATTATCAGCATAATTCACCCCAATTACAAAAATGGCAACAGTTAAAATCATGCACATTTCACCATTTCATAAAAACTTCTTTTTAAACTTATACAAACTTCCCCAGAATAAAAAGTTTCCTCAAAAACCTCATGATAACATTATATTAAAAAAATTAACTCTGGAAATGCAGGGAGTTATTTTTCAAATTTTGGCTTTACGATTTTCTTTTTCTATCTGTTAAAAAATAGAGTTGAGGAGTGTGTTGAGAGAGGTGGGGAAAAAAAGGAGCTTCCAGTTGATGGATTCAATATGTCCAAAAATACCTCAGTAATGGAGAGAAAAAAACTTCAAGAGCAAGAACGCATTATAAATAAAAGTCTTTCAGCAAGATGAATAGGTGAGCAGTTCTCCCATCAGTTGCACCCACAGGAGAGAGGTCTTCTCGAAGAATGCTTGTTTATAGAATCTTCTGTAAGATAGAGTTGGCTACATCCAATGATTCGTCTTTTACTAGAACAATGTCGTAAGAGTCCATGTACTTTTCTAAAAGCTCATCCACCTAAATCAACAACAACAAAAAATTACATGGATGTGCAGGAAGGAGAAGCAAATAGTTTCAATGTGAATCTCATTGTTAGGTTTAATCTTTTGGGCAAAATGTAGCAAATTAAATTTACTTTCATAAAACCTTTGAAATGAAATAATTTCAAACTTTGAAGACTCATGGACATAGGAATCATCCCACATGGTGGCTTTACTCCTAAAGTCATTTCTCTCTAGTCCAGTGGTTCTCAACTGGGGAGACTGTGCCCAAGCAATACCTGGCAACATTGGGGACATTTTTGACTCTCATGACTAAGGAGTGTTTCAGGTTTTTAGTGGGGAAAGGCCAGAGAAGCCACCCCAATACCGATGGCACACATGTGAATCCTAAATCCCTTAACCACACCAAAGTATAGAGATAAAGAGCAATCAAAATGTCTCTAACTACTTTCTCACACATGTTTAATAACAACTGCCCCATCCTTATTTTTCTTACAAGAAAATTAAATGACAGATCTATATACTTACTCTATCGTTTAGATATCCAATTTTCAGGATGTGTTCAACATTGGCTACTCCATCTGCCATTCTTATGTCCCCTTGGGAATCTCCCAACAGAATGATGTTGCTATTGTCTTTTAGTCTATTGAAATATTCTGTGTTCTTCAAGGCACCATCATGTTTGTTAAATACATGAATTAGTTCGCCTTTAAATCCTTTCAGCACTCCCTATAAAAATACAAATCCTTTGAAACAAGAGGTTTCAAACTGCAAATTCTGTTTGTTCTATTTTCACAATCATGATAGGTAAGAAGGGCTCTGAGAAGTTAATGATTTCTAGAGACTACTTTAAATGTCAAACACAATGAGCTGAAAATTCAGTTTTTACTTTTCATTTGTTTCCTAACTGGAGGTCCCATTTTCTGTATGTCATAATGTACTGTTTTGATTAGAAGAGTTTGTTCAAATAACGACAGTTCTAATTCACTTTTTTTTTTCCACCTATGGATATTGAGTCTTCAGAATTGCTGCATTAAATTACATTAAAAGAACTTTTCCTAATTTTAATATTGGTCTGTAGCTTGGGATACAAAAGTTTAAGAAAGGGGGCACCTGGGTGGCTCAGTGGGTTAAGCGTCTGCCTTTGGCTCAGGTCATGATCCCAGAGTCCTGGGATTGAGTCCCACATCGGGCTCCCGAGCAGGGAGCCTGCTTCTCCCTCTCCCTCTGCCTGCCTGTCTGCCTACTTGTGATCTCTCTCTCTCTCTCTGTCAAATAAATAAATAAAATCTTTAAAAAAAAAAAAGTTTAAGAAAGGCATATGATAACACTGGGAGTTGATAAGTCCCATAGTAGGCCTATTGAATGACCTAACTTAATGAATATACATTAAATAAAATACAACTGCATTTATATGATTAAAATATATTCGGATTTTAAAAGTAATTACAAAGAATGATTTGCTGTACTTACATTGTCATCAAAATCCATGAAGTTGGACACTACAGTGATGTTCGGGTGATAAACCCCAGCTTGATGGATTACCTCCTCTAGTATATCACCAATACCAGCCGAAAATATGAACACAGGGATACCGTATTCTTGGAGCTTATCAAAGAAATTCTCATACCCTTCCCTGCAAGATGGAGGTAGGAACTGATTGTTAAAGAGCAAGATATATCTCCTTTTCACCTAGAAAGAAAAAAGCAAAACATTTCTACCTAATTCCATAGCTCATTCATATTCCCTTTTCAGAATACTGCCCAAGAGTGCGGTGATTGATGTCTATGACAACAGTAGTACAAGTTTTTCAAGTAACAGTTAACTCTTTGCCTTCCTTTTAATAAATTCTAATAGTACAAATTAGATGCTTTAGACTCAAATTAAATATGGATATAAGCCTACAGTTCACAATCTACACCATTTAACAGCAAATAGTTAACCACATCTTGAAAAGCTTCACCCGGGGAAACCCATTTAGGGTGAGCTGGAGCACCTCCTGCTGGTCATCCTGCTCAACTACTTCCTCTTAGAAAACAGGACGGGGGCGGGGGGCGCCTGGGTGGCTCAGTCGTTAAGCGTCTGCCTTCGGCTCAGGTCATGATCCCAGGGTCCTAGGATCGAGTCCCACATCAGGCTCCCTGCTCAGCGGGAAGCCTGCTTCTCCCTCTCCCACTCCCGCTGCTTGTGTTCCTGCTCTCGCTGTCTCTGTCAAATAAATAAATAAAATCTTAAAAAAAAAAAAAAGAAAACAGGACGGGGGTGGGACGCCTGGGTGGCTCAGTCGTTAAGCGTCTGCCTTCGGCTCAGGTCATGATCCCAGGGTCCTAGGATCGAGTCCCACATCAGGCTCCCTGCTCAGCGGGAAGCCTGCTTCTCCCTCTCCCACTCCCGCTGCTTGTGTTCCTGCTCTCGCTGTCTCTGTCAAATAAATAAATAAAATCTTAAAAAAAAAAAAACAACAGGAGGGGTGTGGGCAGGAACTGAGCTGCATTCTCTTTACATCCAGCATCTCTCCTACCTAAGGTTTAATAGCTGTTGGTCATGTTCTTAATCTAAGTTTCTCCCCTTTCTACTCTTCCTGGGCTACAGGCTAAGCTGCCTACAAAGGAATAAAATACTAGCTGTCCTCACATTCTTTCTGACATTTTTTTTTTAAAGATTTTATTTATTTATTTGAGAGAGCGAGCATGAGAGAGAGCATGAGAGGGAAGAGGGTCAGAGGGAGAAGCAGACTCCCTGCTGAGCAGGGAGCCCGATGCAGGACTTGATCCCAGGACTCCAGGATCATGACCTGAGCCAAAGGCAGTTGCTTAACCAACTGAGCCACCCAGGCACCCTCTTTCTGACACTTAATGCTTTCCTCCTTAGAGGTAGATCACCTTAAAATGTAGCATCATCAAAAAAAAAAAAGAAAGAAAAATAGCATCATCATATTTACCTAATGAGTTGAAAATTGTTAGAGGTGGTAAACCGTATTGAAAAGAAGCTTAAACATTTTCATCTTATCATTTGTGTATTACAAATATTTTTATTATTTGCTAAATCATAGTCACTTTTCCTAGAGATAGTTTTCAAGGAAGTCTGAGAATTCAGAAAGTAGATTCATGTAACTTTATACACTTTGAGCAAAAATTTTTTTTCAACTTGATTTATAAACATTCCTTTTATATTTCATGTCTTTTCAAAAGTATTCTGTTAAAAAATTTCAAAATTGTCCTGGTTTCATAAATTTCTAGAGAGAGAGAGAGAGAGAAAGAAAGAAAAAAAGAGAGAACTTAAATCTCATAAGGCTCTTATTCCCTATACCAAGATCTAATATTCTAATTCTAAATTCTTTACCTCACCCTATTCTGTGATAGGTGGCATATTTTGGCTATGTTTTTAAATGCAACATATAAATAATGTTATTTGTTATATATTGTTATATATTGTTTTAATAAAAACACACACTTGAATACATATATAAGTCTGTAGACAATTAACAGCAAAAACACCCAAGAAACTTACTTGAGCATAACATCAGATTCTGCCACAATTTCTTTAAGTTTAGCTTTCGGTAAAGCTTGTTCAACAAGCAAACCATGTGATTTAGTATACCTGGAGTTTATGTACAAAGACAAAGAGAATATCAATTAAAGCAAATTAAAACTATCATCTTCATTAAAAAGCATTCTTCAGTGATAGATAATGCAGTATTTCATTCATCATAATTTGGACTTAAATTTTAGAAATTTAAATTCATCACTAATGAATGTATATCCTAATGTCTCACAATATAATAGAACATGTTCTTACTGCATTTCCCAGTTCTCCCCAAAACCTCTTAGTTTAAATGTGTTAATAAGATAATGAAAAGATACAACGTGTAAACCTTTCCTCAGTCTACAGATAAGAGCTGAATCCAACCTCGGGAGGCATAATCACTTCTCTGATTACAAGAATTAGAGCAAAGCCATTTGTTTCACCTGTGTGTAGTCTAAATTGTCATGAAATACCTTAGTAGTGAAGGTGCTACCTAGTGTGCAAGAGAGAAAATCCTTGTTATGATGCTCTATAATTACATCAAAGCACCTATAATCACTACATGTCAGTCACAGACCTTTAGAACCTCTCTACCTGATACGCAGAAGTCCTGTGACCCTCCTAAGTGACCCTCCATTCTGGGTCAGCTCCTATCATGCTAGTGAGCTCCTTCTGCCAGGGAAGCTTATATTATTGCTAGAAAATTCTAATTACTAGACAGTCCTTTCTTTCATCACGCTGAAATCAGTCTTCTTAAAACTTCTAAATCTGATTCGAGTTCTGCTTCCACAGGTATGTGGCCCAGGTCCAACTTTTCAACATTTCGTACCATACACATTAATTAAGTGTGCAAGGTATTCAGGTTAGGTCATAGGATAATGAAGATAAATAACATCACTCCTGGTCTAAAACCACAGTTGTTGCTTCTCAAATCGCAGCTTTCCCTATTCTGTGAAATCTTCCCCAAATGGGATGGCCCCAATTCCCGTGATTTTCTTTGTGGATTCCTCTGACACACTCTACAGAGCTGTCAACTTTCTCTTAATAACAGCATTCTCTCTGGACTCAGCACAATGCTTTCAGTGTGGTCTGCTTGGAAGGCTGCATTTCCATTAATGCAGCCAACGCTAGGGGTCCATTTCTCAGCAACTATGTCAACCTGCTGGCTCTAGCTCAGTTCAGAGTCAATTTAAATCCCAATTCTTTTCCTTCACACTTTCAGCCACATTTTGTCCATATACTTTTAAAAAAATGCTTGTTTTTAATTTAAGGCTTAAGCGCAGGATTTTAATTTATCTTCACTGACCTTCATCTTAAAAAAAAAACAGAACAAAACAAATTCTAGACTGTTAGATTAGAAAATTACAGTTTATTTTGTTATATTTCATCACTGCTCTAGCTCATTGGATACCTTATGAATCTCTTATATACAAGGGAAAAATAAGCCATTAGTTGTAATTGCAAAGTTATTTTATTATATTTTTAACCCTCCCATTGTCTGATACACACTTACCATTCTACCATATAGGGGTACTTCTCTTCTATGGTAAGAACAGGATCAATTTCAATAGCATAATATTTTTGCTTTAGTTGCAGTAACTAGAAATAAATGAATAACTTAATCATGAGGATGACAGAGTTGTCATTAAGCTGCTGAGTTTTACAGAAAGCAAAATGATACAAACAAATGGTTTCCATAAATTGCTGTTAAAGATTAGATCATGAGTATTTGGCTAATGCATATATCAACTGAAGAGATCTTTGCTGATCTAGTTTATGTGTAACAAAGTACTTTCAGGTCAGCAATTCAGTGAAACCGACTAATAACCAAATTATTACTACAAAAAACCCTTTTGTTCTCATATGAAAGTATTAAATTTGATTCATCTTTGGAGTCCTATGTTGTTAACACAGACACAGACAGATACATACTCAAGGAAAGCAGAGAACTGAGGCAATTTCCTGGTCAATAAAGGAGCAAAACCTACACAAAACCAAAGTACTTTTGTTTTAACGTACAGCTAATCTAAGAACAGCAGAATATTTTGATAATCAATTAAAATTTTTTATGTAATTTTTGTTTTGTTAAAAAGTTAATTTTTTCTTTAAAATAATGTTGAGAGTGTATAACCCACACAATAAAACTAACATTTATTCAGTGTTTACTAGGTGCTAGGTATGGTTAGAAGCACTTTATATCCATTGTTTGTGTGAATGAACCTGAAGAAATTCTCAGGCAAAAGGAAGTCTTTGAGTAACTCTGGATTACCGTTAGTGTTTACCTTTTTTCGACATTCATCTGTAACCAGCTTACTGTTGTCAATGACATCTGAAGAGTGAAAGCAAACTAGCATTAAAAGAAACGTTCTGACTGATGCTACCACTACTTTAAATAACTTACTACTTTTCTTTTAAGTTTAAATGCCAAGTCCACCAAGCATGGTCATTACAACTTTTGGACTTAGTGCTATAGTACACATGGCATTGCTAGAGAACCTAATGGTTTTAAAATCTAAACTTTGGATCTAAAGCTTTTTTCCTACATTTGGGAGTACTTCATTAGAAATTCTCCAAAGAATTATTGGGCCAAAGGGTATGATTTCTAGTGGTTTTAATATAAAGTATCAAAATGAATTCTCAAATTCCACATGCACCTCCAGTAAATGACAGTCCTCATATCATTGCTTCTTTGTCAGGTTGAAGAGTATTATTTTTTTAAAACTCATTGCCAAGTTTGGAAAACAAAAAAGGTGTATTATCCTAGCAACACATTTTAACTGGATATTTATTTAATTACTCTTAATTTATATATCAACAACAAAAAAATTCAGTAACGTTCTTAGAAAACCAGAGTGGTTGATAAATGCTGTTTCTTTAGGTTAATCCAAAGTTTAAAATCCATGTAAATATTTCTTGAATCAATAATGAACAGACCACATTTGGAGAAAAATTTCAGAAGTATTCATTCCTCTTGCAACCAAAACCACACTTGAAAATAGTCATTTATATAACATGGGGGAAAAAACAAATCCTCAAAATATAAGAAGAAAAAGGCAAGTCTTCTCACTTTCAATGTCCAAAAGGAAAAAAAAAAAAAAAACAACCCAGTCTCATAGATCATATAGGTAAGAAAGGATCTTAAAATAAGAATTACTTTCATGAATTTGTTTATGAATGCCACACTTACAATGACATGTTGGGCATCTTTTCCCTTCATAGGAAAATCTACTCAGTGTCATATCAAAGTCTGTTATTATCTGTAAAGAAAGGGGGAAAAGCATTATGGACCATTCAGCCACCGAGGGCAGACACGTACTGCACCCTTCCTAGAGGTATGGGACTGTGCTCAGTCCCTGACCTGCCCCCACCCCCACAGGTTATTCTCTCTGCATTCTGTGTTCTAATGTAGCTCTCTACTGGGAACAGCAGCCTATCTCCTCCAACCACAAATTCCTGTACTGATTAACCAGATTTTATTTGGTGGCAATGCTGGGGCACTTAGGGTATCGCCTTGTAGTTAAGTCCTGGGAATCACCTCAGCTACACAGTGATACCTTAAATGCCCCAGCATTGTCACCAAATAAAATCTGACTCATCGGTATAAAAATTGGCAGTTGCAGGTGACTGGGCTACTATACTTTTTTTTTTTTTAAAGATTTTATTTATTTGAGAGAGAGAGACACAGCGAGAGAGGGAATACAAGCAGGGGGAGTGGGAGAGGGAGAAGCAGGCTCCCCACTTAGCAGGGAGCCTGATGCGGGGCTCGATCCCAGGACCCTGAGACCATGACCTGAGTCAAAGGCAGACGCTTAACGACTGAGCCACCCAGGCACCCCTGGGCTACTATTCTTGATAGAGATAAAATGTCGCACAATTTCAACCCACCTGGTCAATGTGCAAAAATGCAGTGGAGGCAATTAAACTATATGAAGCTCTCAACTGCAAAGAAGGACATCCTGTCATATACTACAACATGGATGAACCTTGAGGGGACATTATGTTAAGTGAAATAAGCCACTTAGAGATGGACAAATTCTCCATGATTCCACTTATGTGAGGTATTTAAATTAGTCAAACTCATAGAAGCAGAAAATAGAATGGTGGTTGTCAGTGGCTGGGGGTGGGGGGAGAAGGAAATGTGGGGTTGCTCTTCTATGGGTATAGAGTTTCAGTCATGCAGGATAAAGAAATTCTAGGAATCTGCTATATAACAATTCACAGAGTTAACAACACTGTACTGTACACTTAAACATTTATTAAGAGGATAGATTCATTATTATGTGTTTTTTACCATAATTAAAAAAATGTATGTCTACTGCGGGGCTTGAAATCACAACCCTGAGATCAAGGCCCGAGCTAAGATCAAGTGTCGGATGCTCACCCGACTGAGCCACCCAGGTGCCCCAAATTTGAATATTATTCTTAAAATGGTTTAATACTTATGCACTTGCATTAGTTAGCTTGGAACTTAGTATTACTCAGATTTGAACAAAACGTGAGATGAGTCTGCCTGAACATTGAAAATAAAGACTTAATAATAAAGACTTCTTGATAATTATTCACCTGAAGTTTGGCAGCTCCACCCTTAATAAGACCACAGATAATTTCTTCTACTCTTGCAGGGTTCTTAATCCGAACTGAACTTCTCTGGAATTCAGGCATCTAAAAAATAAACGGAAGTTAATTAGCTATTTTTAATTCCTCTTTTCCCAGGTTCTTTTGATACCAAGCAGAAGCTTATATTAAGATGTAAAAATGTTGAGGCATTATTTAAAAAAAAAAAGCAAATCATCATATCAAATTACCATTTATACATATAACATTTTTTGAAGCACATCAACAGTTTCTATCTCAAAGATTAAGACAAAATTATATTTGCAATATATTATCAAAAAGTATAATTCTCCTAATTATAAAAGTCACGCATGGTTATCACAGAAATAACAGAAAAAGTATAAAAAAGAAAATAAACATGGCTTGGAATTCTACTACCTAAAGATAAACAAGTAAACATTTAAATTTATTTTCCACTATTTTCATTTCTATGATTACAAACATGCCTGTTTATGCACATAGTTTATCTCATTCTCATATATTTTTTCATCTGGCTTTTTAAAATTAATTATTACTTCATATACTGTTATAAAAATGCTTTTAGCAGAATTCATTAATCAAAATAAAACCTTAGAGTGGAATGGAGAATATCTGAACTTCGTGATAAAGAGTTTTCTTTTTTTTTTAAATTTCAGCTAAGCTGCTTTTTCTTTTTTTTTTTTAAAGATCCTATCCATTCATTTGAGAGAGAGAATGAGAGAGAGAATGAGAGAGAGAGAGAGCACATGGGGGGGGAGGGTCAGAGGGAGAAGCAGACTCCCCGCTGAGCAGGGAGCCCGATGTGGGACTCGATCCCGGGACTCCAGGATCATGACCTGAGCCGAAGGCAGTTGCTTAACCAACTGAGCCACCCAGGCGCCCCGATAAAGAGTTTTCTTATAAGATCTTTCTGCTTAAGGGGTGCCTGGGTGGCTCAGTCGGTCAAGCATCTGACTCTTGATTTCAGGTCAGGTCTTGATCTCAGGTTGTGAGTTCAAGCCCCGCATTGGGCTCCACACTAGGCATGGAGCCTACTTAAAAAAAAAAAAAAACCAACCAACAAAAAAACTTTCTGCTTAAGATTTAGCTTATATTTATATTTACATTTAAAAAAATCTTAGCAGAAAGGTAACAAATGTTACATGATTATTCCCCACAAGTGTACCTTTGTGCAGGTAATTAAAATATATTTTAAATATATTTAACTTGAAAACGTGCTTCAAGATCTTTGTTCCTTTATCATACTACATATAATACCAATAATCCCAAATAATTTCATTGCTCTTGGCATAAATTTTACAACAGATTTATTTCAATTTAAGACAACTCCTAAAAAGTATGAGACCACCAGCATAAGACTCTTGATCTCAGGATCGTGAGTTCAAGACCCATGTTGGGCACGGAGCCTACTTTTAAAAACAAACAAACAAACAAACAGACGTATTAGAACACCTGGGCTTAGGCAGCTACTAGGCTGGTTTATTCAGGATTTAGTGTTGCTCAACAATTTAATGTTAAATATTGTTTCTTTCTTCTACTCTATCACAAAGAAAACAAAACTGATCAGAGTAAAATGAAGAGGCACCCTGTTCTTAGAGCATGTGTACAAGAAGATGGCGGGGCGGGGGGGTGGGGGCGGAGATTAGAGGACATATAATAGCTCCACAGTGTAAAAGGGCAGTAAGAGAACCACAAATCAGGTTCTGTACTCGTTTGTACCCAGTAACCTTTATTTACTTTATATGCTATTATTCTGGGTATATTACCACCAATATTAACATATTTCATGTGCATCACAGACATGATTATGGAAAATTCCCTAGACCTTGTAGCTCTGCTCCAAGAGCATGTGACCAGTTGAGTCTCTCAGGTCCTATTCTGTCTCTACATAATAGACAAAATTAGAAAATCGGAAAAAGGCTAAACTGTTTTCCTAAGACTGAAAGATACATACAGGAAAGAGAAATGCTAACATTAAAATTTTCTCCACTAATGAAAGATGCTACAATATGCTTAATTTTAAAAAGCCAAATTTAAATAGCATGGGATAACCTGCAATGCAACTAACTTTCAAGCAGTGATTCTTTTAACTTAACTGGACTTTAGAGGTGTCAACAGAATAATGGTTATCCAAATATTTATTTTACAGCGATTTTTCAATAGATGAGAAAAGCAAATAGGCACTTATTCCTACATTCCTTTTCTTCATTTATTAATCCATTAATTTGCTTAACAAATATTTACCTTTATCTACTTTGTGTCAGACGCTAGATGCCAGGGATATGATGATTAGCAGTACTTACACCGTTTTCCTGTTGAGTTTTAGAAACCGTTGCTGTTTTGGAATATCACACTTCTATAGCTCCCCTACAAATACCTTAACTAGTAAGTTCATCTCCTAACAACTATATTCTGCTCTTACCTCTGCCTTAATTGGCAGATGCATAGTAATCAACATATGTTTGACTTAATAACTAACCCGCTACTGAAAGCAACAGAAGATAAATGTCACTAACTATATTTTCACCAAGAAAATTAAACATTTTATTTCAGTGTGTCCATACTGACAAAGATGTCCTGCCTCATGCAAATCACATCCTATAATACATTCAATTAAAACAACAACAACAACAACACCCAACACCCATATTTAAATAAGATAGGATAACCTCTTTCAGATAATGAATAGGAAAATAGTACCAAAGCCACTTCAAAGTAGGCTGGTTTCTGCTAGGTTAACAACTAATAGATTGGATTATAATATCACTTAGGGCCTGAAAGACAACCAGAAGCTGGAGGAATTGATATCCCTGCTTCTGTACAACAGCCATTCATTTTCAGATAAATAAGAAGTGAATACCCAAACAGCACCAGGGTGAAATCACAGTGATGAGAACAGATGAAAGAGCAGCAGAGAACACAATAGGAAAGAGGATACAAGTGTAAGAAATTTAAAAATGATAATTATATCTGCTTTGGTTATATGATAATATACTTATACCACCCCCACCCCCCACGATACACATACAATGTCACCAAAGCGTATCATAAATACTTCTCAGGAACTTGAGATACTGGGCATTTTACTCAAATATTTTAGAATGCAACCTAAGAAATATATTTTTAAAATACTACATGAAATATGTCAAAGAATGTCAGAATATCAGAATATTAAGAAATATACTGCAGAGGGCGCCTGGGTGGCTCAGTTGGTTAAGCGACTGCTTTCGGCTCAGGTCATGATCCCGGAGTCCCAGGATCGAGTCCCACATCGGGCTCCCTGCTGAGCAGGGAGTCTGCTTCTCCCTCTGACCCTCTTCCCTCTCATGCTCTCTATCTCTCATTCTGTCTCAAATAAATAAATAAAATCTTTAAAAAAATAAAAAATAAAAAAAAAGAAATATACTGCAGGAATATACATTCATCATACATCACATACTTCCATTACCTCCTCAAATCCCTTCTTCCGTAATTCTTCTTGGACAAAACTACACCTGTTTGGTAGCACTTAAAATAATGATGCTTCAAGTCTGAAGGGCAAGTTATTTTGAACTGTCCAAAAACTTTTCAACTTATAATTTTATGGTAAAAAAATAAGGGGATAAAAATGTCATCACTTGCAAACAAAAGAAAACAAAATCATTTTATAGGCATAATGTAAAATGCTGAAGGAGCAGTTTTCCTGACAAGAATCAGGGCATTTTGGTTGACTGGAGCCAAATCTGACTTAATGCTAAAGATGACTAACAAAAACCTAAAATACACGTATTCTGGCTGTAAAATGAATTTGTACAGATGAAATGAAATTTGCACAGACCAATCATTAGTCTATTTCCATAATCGAAAAGCAATGATTTTTGGAGAAGTTGATTTCAAAGTTATACAGTTTTATTCATAACTCTCCAGTAATATTTGATTATTTGATATTATCTTGCAGATACACTGAGACAAGATATAACAGAGTATCTGCATGGCATAGTCACAAAATTGTCCTAATGTTTTACCTATATTTCTCTGAAAACGGACCACATAAAAATTAGTTTAAATGACTTTAGGATCTTTGTCTGAAGTTCTCAGGGGAAATATTTTTTTTTCCAATGTTCATATTTGGTACAAGCAAAAGACTTCATTACTACTTTGGTACAAAGGAGTGGGCACTACAATTTTCATGTAACTACATAAAAAGTATAGATCCAAAGCCACCTATTCAGACTGGTATGTTCATTCACATACATGGATCATTCCATGACTTATTTGGAAGACTACCCATTACTAAAGTGTAGTGATAGCCAGTTTCCCCTGTCTACCACATTTTTGGCCTGTCTCCACCTTAAGGGAGTGTAGGCCAAATTCATTCATTCAACATATAGTTATTAAGTGTAAGGCAGCTCTGTAAGAGATACAAAAGTTTTAGTAAGATAAACATCTTAAACTTAAGGTCCATGTTCTCTAACATGGATTGTAATACAGGAACCCAAATAAGTAATACATTGCTCAGACGTCCAGATAAAATACAAGAGGAACATAAGAGACTGTGATTACCTCTGCTGCGGCCAAAAGAGGAAGAGCCAACTGAGCTAGGCTTTCAAAGAGAAGTAGGATTTATTTATGCTGAGATCATGAGCCAAAATGCAGGGTCTAATGTCGGGAGGAAAGATGAACAGCTCTGTCTAGAACTTTACTGTGTGTGGGAGAGACGGGGGGGGGGGCGGAGGAGGGAGGGAGAGAGAGAGTTTGTGTGTGTAAAGTGTGGAAAGAGATCTGGAGCCAGGTCATGAGAAGTTGAGAACATCGTAAGGAGCTGCCAACTTAAAAGATGTATCAACATTTTTAGAAAAGCAAACCCCAAGGTAAAAATTGTGCAACTTAATGCAATGATAGTAAAAAATATATGTAAGGGGGCACCTGGGTGGCTCAGTCGGTTAAGCGGCTGCCTTCGGCTCAGGTCATGATCCCAGGGTCCTGGGATCGAGCCCCGCATTGGGCTCCCTGCTCTGCGGGGGGCCTGCTTCTCCCTCTCCCACTCCCCCTGCTTGTGTTCCCTCTCTCGCTGTGTCTCTCTCTGTCAAATAAATAAATAAAAAATCTTAAAAAAAAAAAAAATCAACTCAAGCAAAAAAAAAAAGTTTTAGATCGACTTAATGTTACATATCAGAGACAAATTTCAATGCTAATCATGCAACAGAAGCAAAGGTCATGGCGATGTAATAGGCTGAACCAAATGAAACTGCCCATGTTGGACTATTCAACATACAAAAGCACAACAATTTCATATGCTCCATCCTAACAGCAGTAACTACACCAACGGCAGCTTCATCAGCACTTTGAGGCAGCCTTCACCTCCCGTCCCACGCTGGATGAGGACAGCTAAGCTGAACAAGAGGTTTATTAACTGTGACACAAAGCTGTTTGCATGCTAAGTCATGTTCTGGTTTATAGGCTCAAACGAAAAAAAAAACTAGAGAAAGGAAGAAAAAAATACAAGAGAAGAGGAAGAATGACAACAAAACAACAGAAAGAGAAGAATAAGGTGATCGTGGGGCAGTTGTCCTCTTTAAAAGAGAGGGAGAAATTGTGATTTTTTTACAATTTTACCACCATGAATATGGAAAATGGATATAATTTTTTCCACACATACAAATGCTACTTACATAGTGAAAACACTAACATAACAGGGAATTAACATTACTGAATGCTTACTATGTTCTATTAGGCACTTTACATACTTTTCCATTAAGTATGAATAAGAACATTTCATTTATAAGATGAATAAGGTCTGAAAATCCAATGTATGCTATGGTGACTACAGTTTATAATACACTATTGTATAATCTGCTAAGAGTAGAACTTAAATGTTCTCCACCCCCAACTCCCTCCCCCGCCAAAAAAAGGGTAAATATGTGAGGTGATGGATGTGTTAACTAGATGGGGAAGATGATTCACAATGTATATCAAATCTCAAATCATCACACTGTACACTTTAAATATCTCACAATTTTGTCAATTATATCTCAATAAAGCTGGGAAAAATCTGAATAAAACAAGAGTTTGGTGGTTTCATACAATTTCTTAAAGGTGAGATTATTACCCTCATTCAAGGGTATCATAGCTCTTAAGGACTAAATTAACATCTGAAGCCAGCTCTGGCTCCAAAGCCTATATTTTTTCTTCCTCAGTCTAATGTCTATAATGCAATGAGCTCTACTGTTATACAAGAAGTTTTTTATTTAAACACTTGTCATTTTAATTCAGAAGCTTAAACATCTCATGCTGTATAATTTAAGTGTGTTATTGCTGAGCAAGGAAAATTTAGCACAAAAAGGAATAGGATAACCATTTTATATGCTGAGAAACACTATAATACACATTTTATATTTCAAGCAAAAAATTTTTTCTAAGGTAAGTTGATATCCAATTGAACAAATAGTTGAGGTTCTATTGTTTATCAAACACTGTGAAGAAAGACCTGCATAAAGTTACAGTCCCATAATTAATAATCTGGTTAGATACAGAGGTAAAAGTGGTGAAGATTCACCATTAATAAATGGAACTGGAAATACTCAAATACCCACCATTTTCACATGTACAGCAGAATCTTGATTAGGCATTTCTTGGTTATCCAATCTTCTGGATTTCCCCAGGTGATGTCACAGTAAAAGAGAGAGAAAAAAGGTACACGTGACATACATATATTTCAGGCTGTTCCTGTAGGTTAATGACATAGTAAGGTGGTACTTTTGGTTTGACTTAAATACCAAGTTACTGAAGGCACCTTTTCCTCTTTCCTAAGAAGCTCAGCAAAGATTTTCTCTATCTTACAAAGGTTGGAGTTAAAAATTTTGTATGAAAAACTTGCAGCTCTCCTATAAGAACTTATATAGTGTTAGTAAGATTTGAATAAAGTTTATATTTGCAAGAAAATGCTTTATTACAAGAATATTTTATCAACATTTTCTCTACATATAAGGATGAAGTTTGTGGGAAAATTATGCATTGCTATTACTGAATCAATGGAGGAAGATATGAATAGAACATAAGGAGAAACATAATACACAAAAGTCAAGTTTATTCTTCAATTTTCCCATATTAAACTCTAATTTTGTGAAATGAGGCAACTACTATCTGAGTTAGTATCTGGCCCAGAATAAGTATGTGATAGTGTTAACTAAATGATAATTTTATGGGTTTGGGTGGAATTTATACATATCAATTTGTTAAGCTAAAAGGAGTAGTTTTTATAATATCTCCTAATAAAATAAAATACCTCTTATCATTATTTTTTTCCCATTTTTTCAGTATCAATCTTAGGGAAAATTACTTACTTTTGTTCCTCAATGACTTTACTTTTACTTTACACTAGGTAAGTAAAATTTTTTAACAAAAGCAGTATTTAAAAAGGGCAACTTTATCAAAAGGGAAAAAATCTGATTTTCTTAAAAGTTGGACATTATAGGGGTACCTGGGTGGTGCAGTCAATTAAGTGACTGACTCTTGGTTTTGGATCAGGTGGAGATCTCCAGGTTGTGAGACTGAACCCCTCAACAGGCTCTGCGATCAGTGTGGAGTCTGCTTAAGACTTTCCCTGCCCCTCCCCCTGCTCTCTCTCTCTTTAAAATAAATAATCTTAAAAAAGTTGGACATTATATCTGTGTTCTTTATAATTAAAATATATTGTAGCAGATACATAAAAATTCTCAATTCTAAAATTCATTCCTCCCTCCTTCCATTTTAAATGCATAAAATTGGGAAATGTCTTATAAAAAGGTATTCCCTGCCCCCTCAGAAAAGCTGTTAGTAAGTTAATGGTCTTATAATTGATGGCATCTTGAAGCTGAGTAAACAGTATTTCCAAATACTAAGATACCTCCAATTTTTCACAACCAAAAAATAATACAGTATCTGCAGAAGTACCTATTTATCTATCTATACACTCTATATAACTCATAAACACTTTGATCACTACCCCCAAAATGTAACTGTAATGGTAGTTTGAGGGTTAGTAATCTTTAGATGATTGTAGTCAAATTTAAGTAACCCTTCCTTTCTGCTGATCCTTGATCTTAAATAAAGAAGATGCCACAGAAGTTGCCTGCAAATCTCTTTCTTCATTTATAGAAACCAAAGCATACAATATGCTTATGGTTTTCCTTTGATGTTTAATATCTGAACAGGGTTCTATATTTCTCGGAAAGCATTATTTTAAATAAAACCATTTTATTAGCTTGAAAAAGGGGAAGGAGAATGTGGAAAAGTACCGTAGAGTTTATAAAACATTTGAAAAGCCCAAAGGAACACAGAATTCAAGCAGTGCAGAATACATTTTAATATCTGGGAATCTCAGCTCTTCTTGTCGCACAGAGCCAGGCAGCCCAATTCCTGTTCCCCCCACCACCAAGTTTGGCTCATTTATGTAAAAAAAGATAAGAGGGGAAAAAAGCCAGTGTCAGTAAGTAAAAAAGTAATTGTCTTTCTCATGGTCTCTACATATTTTATTTAAACAAAACACAAACAAAAACAGAGTCATCAGAAATTTGATAATGGCCAATTTTAGGACATTATTTTTGATAGGTAAACCTACTAGTTCATGGATTCTATGCAAATATCAACTGAAGGTCCTTCATTCTTCCTGATGCTCACTGGCAATCTGACCAGAATGTATCCTTGTTCAGAGATAACATCACATAAAGTGATACTGTTGTCCTAATGTAAAAATCACCCCATTGTCTCTATAATTACAGAAGTGTCAAGAGTAAGGCATAAATGCCAGCATTCTGGCACTATTCTAAGGAAGACACTGAAAATTAGGGCAGGGTATTTTTAAACCAATCGGCTTGTAAACCTATACTTGGTATATAATGTTCTGGCTCACTTTGCCAGCAGTCATCTGTTGCAGATGCTTCAAGAGAAGAGCTGTTGGAAAAAACACATCAAGTGTAGAAGACACGTTCAAAAATAGAAAATACTAGCCTGGAAGTATGAACCCTCTTCATAGGAAGTTTTGAAGTTTTAGTCTTTTGAATTTTTAATGTCGACTAGAAAAGTGTGGGAATTGGAAAATAATTGTGTGCTTTCGCTATGAGGTTAGGGTCTCTGCTCTAACGGTGTTCATTACACAGAATATGTAGGACAAAGCTAAAGACTGAAGCAAGAGGTAAGAACTTCATTGGAATAGCACAAACTTGGTAACTGAAAAGTTTTAGTGATTGTGATTATTTCCTTCTGAGATCATTAATTTTACCTTGAAAAGACAGTGATAAATCAATGACTGAATATGTCTATGTCTACATGAAAAAATTTTACTTGCCTTTATACAAGTTTTAAAGTATCTGAATGCCAATTGAATATTTTTAAAGGCCCACTTGGCTGTCTTATGGGAAAGTGAAAAAGATTAAGTTCATCAATATCATTGACTTAAAAAGTTGTGATCCTGCTTCAGTTGTGATACTTGCAGAAACATTTACACGACACAACAATAAGGTAATGAAATTTTGAATGGTAAACTGTATACTACTTATATAAGAAAAGGCAGGTATTACTATAATATGGACAGAGTATCAGCAACAGTACTAAACTTCCAAATGAATCCATTTTTTGCTGCACTTTTCCAGCAACCTGTATTACTTGTCTTAAGCTTACTTATGTTTTTAATAATGACACTTGGGTGATTCGCACAAGAGAAATCAAACATAAGTTTGTTATTTCAGTAGCATTGTACATCAGTTTCTTGGATCATTTAAATAATTCAATAAATGATTTTCAAGGCAGCAGTGAAAAAAAATATACAAACTGGAAAGTGAAACTTTCTCGATACAGACATGAGACAAAAATGAAACTGAATATTCTCAGGTCTTTCCTGAGCCTGTTGGGGGAAAGAGAAACTGAGGCGGGAAGGGAAGAGAAGGAGATAGAAGAGAGGAAAAATAAATTTCAAAGGCTAGTTATTTAAAAATTGGCAATTTATACCAATTTTCTTAAATAGTAAAGCTTGGCTTCTCAGTCAGAATTTTATGGATACTTAAGAAAATACATAATTTCAGAGCTTAGAATTTATTCATATATGCTCCCCACTCCCCATGGCCCTAATATCTAATAGCATTTTTCAAGCTGAGTAAACCAAGGCACATGGAAATTAAGTAATTTATACTGATTACCCTTACTGCTCTCTGAGTTCTGTCTTTGAATTTGTCCTAGAACAACAGCATAGGTGGTAAGCAATATCCAGAGATGGAGGGACTTGGATATAGACTGCCAATAAAAACCTTAAGAAATAGTCTGCTGCACTATCTAATTCTCCTGATAAAAAAAAACAAAAACAAATAACTATAAAAAATAAAGTAAATCCAATTATTTAAAACTAAGTTAGCCACAACATTCTAGGGTTTTATAGAAATATATGCTTGAATCTTAATTCTCAATATACAATTTGTTATAAACCTTAGAGACTGTAATCCAGCTTTTATCAATTCATAAAACATACCAATATAATCCTATTCCATAATATCTTAGATAAAACAAGCACAAAATAAAAATTCATTATCTTTATTACTAGGCATAATATATGGTTCCTAGACCTAGGGACACAAAGCATGTGGCAATCAGCAAAATTGAATCACAGAGCAACTAAATGAACAACAAAATTGGATCTTACAGTGCCTTTTTTTCCTTTGAAAAGAGATTTTTGAAGATACATTGCTTTTTCTCAACATGTACATGTGAAACAAGAAGCTCTTAAAATTAGATGCTTTAAATTGTAATTTCAGAGACCCAAGACACTGCAAAGTTTTACATATTCATATCTTTGCAAACTGTAAAGTTTTACATTATACTGCTTTATTCTATTTTTATTTCCTTCATCTGTATTTTTAAATGCTTACAATTTCAACAAGATACTGAACCAAATAAGAGTCAGATAAAGTTAAGCCGGAGAAACTTATTTGTTTACATGAACTGTACACACTTACCCTGAAGGTAACCGGACAAGCTACGCCAGCAAAAGAAAATTCTTCCTGTCTGAGAAGTACTAATATAGCACAAGGTGCAACTGAGGGCGGTTCCAAAAGCCTTGGCTAAGCTCTATGCAAAAATGGTCTTGTGACGCATTACTACACAGTGCTTTATTATGCTCCGGGTGACACTTGCTAGCTCTGAGCTAACAGTCACCAGCCAGTCTACAGAAAATGATCAATTGAAATAATGTGACAGTTAAGAGAAGGTAAATCTGTACTATTAGAGCCGGCAACTTGCTCTGCAAAGAAAAACGGAACCTCCATATTAACACTTAAAAATACTCCCTTCCTCATCCGGTTTTTTGGCTGTCAGTGTACTTGTGGTATGTGCATTTTTCTGTATGAATATTATATTTCAATACAAAGTAAAAAAAAAGTAGGTCATGGTTGCTAGGAGTTGGGGGGAGAAGAGAATGGGGGAAGCCACTGCTCAATGGGTACAAAGTTTCAGACTGGAAAATGAGGAGTTCTGGTGATGGATGGTGGTGAGGTTTGCACAATGTCAGTGGATTCAAGGCCACCAAACCATACACTTAAAAATAGTTAAAATGGCAAATTTTATGTTGTGTGTATTTTATCACAATTTTAAAAAGATTACCTCATTTAAGACACAGGAGAAAAGACATGATGCATGTAAGTGTGGTCACTAGAATGTTAAGAGCCTTTACTGCAGGGCACTGGGATTTAAGTGATTTTTATGTTTTTTTTCCATATTGCCTACACTGTAAATTTTATTTTCTAAAAAAATCTGAACATAAATGATGAAAACTCATTTCTAAGGTTAAAAAATGGAAAAAAGTTATTTTCCTGTTGGAAATAAAAACAAATTGTTATGAAGAAAAATATTAACTTTTTTTTAATCTTTAAATTTTTTTTGGTTATGTTAATCACCATACATCATTAGTTCTTGATGTAGTGTTCCATGACTCATTGTTTGTGCATAACACCCAGTGCTCTACGCAGAACGTGCCCTCTTTAATACCCATCACCAGGCTAACCGATCCCCCCACCCCCCTCCCCTCTAGAAAAAATATTTTTAACTTTTAAAGAGAACCAGTCTTGCTTTTAACCCGAGTAGCAGGATTGCAATATGCTAATACCATATGTCAGGGCCTGACAGATAAGTTATGCTACGGGCCCTCTGGGAAGCTTTATCATTAGGAACAGGAGGAAGCTATGCTTACGTAAATAAACTTGTGTATCTGCCGTCTCTCTTCTATGCTCAAGAGAAATCAAACCCACATAGCATTTCAATAATCAAACTCTGTGAAGTAGCATGCTCTATTAAAAACAATAAAAAAAAAGTTTAAATGATTTTTTTAAAAGATTTTATTCATTCATTTGTCAGAGAGAGAGAGAGAGAGAGAGCGCGCGAGCATAAGCACAGGCAGAGGGAGAAGCAGGCTCCCTGCTGAGCAAGGAACCCAATGCGGGGCTCCATCCCAGACCCTGGGATCATGACCTAAGCTGAAGGCAGACGCCTAACCGACTGAGCCACCCAGGTGTCCCTGTTTAAATGATTCTTTAAAAGGCCACTAACAAATTATCCAAACTTGGTATCTACCAAGGGTTAAAAATTTGGCACCGCTATCTTATTTTAATAAGATGAGAAGATTCACAATAAAACATTCCTCTATGAGGAAAATCTTTTATATTTGACTAATGGAGGCTCAAGGGCTACCAAGTAATCCTTTTTGAAAATATTCCTGTATTATGTATGAATATGATGACTTAATTGTCCTGTAATATATTAATATAGGTAGCAATGATAAGAATTTTAAAGATACCACTTAGACAGATGACTCAAGATTTAAGTCATTCTCAACAAAGGATGCTGGAGTCAGAGTTCTTTCTTGGAGGGCTATTTAGAGATACTATTAAAAGCTTCAGAAATATACATTTCCCTTGACACACCAATTTTATATCCTAAGGATTTTAACCTAAGGAAATAAGGCAGTACACAAAGATTTAGTTGCAAAGATATATACTATAGACTTCTATAGACTTGTTTTTTTGTTTTTGTTTTTGTTTTAAGTAGGCTCTACGCCCAGAGTGGAGCCCAACATGGAGCTCGAACTCATGACCCTGAGATCAAGACCTGAGCTGAGATCAAGAGCGGGATGGTCAACTGACTGAGCCACCGAGGCGCCCCCATAGACTTGTTTTATAATACTGGGAAACTGTAAACAACCTAAATGCCCAATATCTAAATGTTCATTAACATAAGAGAGGTGAATACATTGTGGTATACACATAAAATATAAAATTATACAGTTCCCAAAAATGATTATTATAAATAGCTAAAATTTATTGTATGTTTACTGTGTATTAGGTACTTCAAATACTTGACATACTTCATCTCATATAACACTCATAACCCCAGAAGGTATGTGCTATTATTATCCTCATTTTTCAGGTGAAGAAATTAAGGCGGTAGCTGAGAAGTGGCAGAACTGGATTCAAACTCAGGTCTCTCTGACTTCAGAATCCATGCCTGTAAATCACTGGACACTACGGCTCTGTGAGACCGATATTTACAGATATACTCAGGTGTACAAGATCTACAACTGAATGAAATAGAGTATCTATAGCAAGAGTCCAATTTTTGGGCAAAATTCTTTATACAAACATAGGAAAGTCTAAAATAGAATATATAAGATAGTATCAGATGGGATTAAGGGGCCATTTTTACTTTCTGAGTTTTATAAAATTAGTTCCTTGGGGGGAAAAAATGGCTTATTACAAATGTTACAGTAGTAGCATCAACCATGTCCATAATCAGAAAAGAAAAAAAAAAAAAGCATAACAACCAGAGCTAGTCAGTATCATGGGTGGATTACTTGAAACAGTATTTCTACAGTGGAGACAGAACAAGGAATTAATCCAGTTGGCTCTAAAGCAAAACAAAATACAGCATGAAAAGAAAGATGGTTAGTATGTTATCAAGGGGGTGGAGGATGGCTTATGGCTCTGCTGGTGGTCTGCTCTGCTAGCCTAAGGAAAGAAGAGAGGAAATAGGAGCATTGCTCCCTGCTTACAGGGAACTTTTCCCACAATATCAATCCCACCCAGTGTGTATAAATGCATGGGGTGGGATGGGATGCCTGGTGGGCTGTCCCTCCAGGAGGGACTAACAATTTTCAAGCACTTTCTTACCTTGTCAGAATCTCAGAAGCATGCAATGGCCTTTTATATACTATGGGACCAAGGGCACGCTGCCCTAAGATGGCTCACTTTATTTTTTAAAGATTTTATTTACTTATTTGAGAAAGAGCGCAGGAGCGGGGGTAAGGGGGAGGGGGAGAGGGAGAGGGAGAGGGAGAGGGAGCAGAGTGCCAGATGTGGGGCTCGATCCCAGGACCCTGAGATCATGACCTGAGCCGAAGGCAGACGCTTAACCAACTGAGCCACCCAGGTGCCCCAAGATGGCTCACTTTCGCATAAAGATTATTTTGAGTTAAAAGCAAGCAAGATCCAGCAGATTTAGGAAAAGCTCCTTGCCCCCACTCTCCCACACTCCACAACTGCGTAAAAAGAATTTAGATAAAGGACCTGCTCTAGGAAGAGAGCTATCCCCAGAGATAACTACATTATGCTATGAATTAGGTATAGTGTGTGTGGAGAAGAACCTAGCAAGGCCTCTTTGATCAAAGTCCTCTCTTTGGAGGACTTCACCATTTCCAAGTGATCTAACAAATATTTGTTTACCAAACATTTGCTTTTTCATTCTTTTTGAGGACTGCATTCCTCCCCTTTGAAGACCCAGACCCCTACACCCCCTTCTCCTTAGTTCAGAACGACATATACCTCATTTTGCCTGACAGTCTTTGGAATTTCTTTGTGCATTCCCCATATGTACGCTATTAAGTCTGATTTTTCTCCTGTTAATCTGTCTCATGTCAATTTGATTCTTATTCTAGCTAGAAGGACCCTGAGGGGACAGGATATTCTTATTCCCTGACAATACGTTCTATTTATTCCGTAAAGCCTTATGAGAAAGATAATACGTCTCCCCTTATTACTGGTAAGGAACCGAAGGGAAGTTACTTACTACTTAGGTGACTTCTTCTTATTATATCATGCTGCTTCTAGACAATAATATACACATTACTTACGTGAGAGGGCCAGAAATGTCTGTGAATAAGAATAATGTTTTGAAACTGTGCCAAGAAAAAAGAACAAGGACACAAATACAAGCAAAGTACTGAGTAAAAGAAAATGAATTTTGTTTCAAATAGCTCTAAGCTACTGTGTTCTGTTTTGTTTTTGAAAGGGAATATAAAGGATTTAGAAGTAAGAAGACGTAAAGAGAGGCTTTTTTAGCAGCACAATGAACTGTGATCTCTGGACTCTGATGGGCTCCTGTTGCCTTGGAGTTTCCTTACTCTTGGTCATAGAAACAGAAATTACTCATAAAGCTCTGAAAGGAAAAGCTACACCTGCAACTGACATGCCAAAGAGCAGAGAAGTTCTCCTACAGGACTCACATCTTTGGAAGCTTTTTCTCCCCTTATAACACTGTAACTGGCTGTCTTTATCAATGGCGAAAGAGATACCCATTTGTACTTCTGAGGAACGAGTTACAACGTTTTAGATACTGTCAATTATTCAATCAACTTGAAAAGCTAAAAATGACCACTTCATATTTTGCCATTAAAGAATTTCTCGGGCGCCTGGGTGGCTCAGTTGGTTGAGCGACTGCCTTCGGCTCAGGTCATGATCCTGGAGTCCCGGGATCGAGTCCCACATCGGGCTCCCTGCTCGGCGGGGAGTCTGCTTCTCCCTCTGACTCTCTTCCCTCTCGTGCTCTCTATCTCTCATTCTCTCTCTCTCAAATAAATAAATAAAATCTTTAAAAAAAAAAAAGAATTTCTCAAAATTTTGAAATACTGAAAAAACAAAAAGCCCACAGAAAATCAAATCTTAAACCTTAGTAACTTATTGATTCATTCATTTTGCCTTTAATCTGGGGGCAGGAAAGTAAAGGGAATAAAAGTACTACATTAATTAATAGTTGAATGTGAAAGAAATCACTTCATAATTCTACATAAAACCTGTAGTAAGGATAATTTATTTCTCAATTATCCAATCTAAGACTTAACTACTAACTCACTTAGCTTACCACAATCCAATTATTATTTGGCTATGGAATGTATTTTTAAACTTCAGTCTGAACTTGACTGACACCCTAGGAAATTATTCCAAACAAAACAATAAAATCATATAAGGAAACCATTCAGGTGAGACGCAATACTCTATAAGGACTCTTGTAAAACTTGTTCCTGCTAATTGCTGTAATTGCTGTATATAGAGAAAGATTATTTTTTTAAACATGCAAAACATCCATCTAGGCATCTGCCTTCTCTTAAAACTTCT